GTTTGTTCTATTTCAGTACCCTCTGCTGCACCAGCAAACTTCACTTTAAGCTCCAGTTCTCCTCTTTCACTAACTGCATCATGGGATGCCATACCTGTCAAGCAACAACAAGGAAAGCTTCTGGGTTACCAAGTCTTCTACACGAAGGAGGGACCTGGCAATGAACAAAATGGGACTGTTGGACCAGATCAGCTCAATTACACAATTATGGACCTTGAGTTTGCCAGTTACTCTGTTAGAGTAGCTGGGTTTACTGCAGTCGGTATTGGCAATTCCACTGTGGTACTGACAAAAACGCCCAATGAAGGAGGTTAGGAAACGGCACATTTAAAGTTGCTGATGCATGTTATTGTTTTAAATTGACTTGACCAAACAACTAGTTATCTTAGAAGCTTAGATACATGTACAATGTATATGCGTCTTATTATTTTACTAGTTATAGTTGACTCTACAACTGCCCCCACTCTTTATTGTGTCCTTGGTGTTTGTGTAGCTCTTTGAAATTAACCTTTGATGTTGAGGATTTTCACACATTAAACAGACAATAGGTGAAACGTAAAGTAGGAAACGCAAGATTCCTTGCACTGAGTCAGGTCGATCAGTACGCAGCGTTGATTAAAACACTCGGTGTTTCGACAATTTTTTCACACGCGTCCTAGTCTAATTTGTTTTATTAAATTTTCTGACTAAAACGGCATACATCAGCACAGAATTTAATTGTACCAGTTCGGGTAATTTGTGTAATCGTCTACCGTGCGAGCAGAGTCTACATTTTCGGGGTGTGAGCTGCCGAACGAAAAGTACTACTACGCACTTCACTCACACTGCGAAAATGTAGCCTCTGCTCGTAGGGTATATATCGCTCTGCTGATAGAAACTACATTGTAGCTTGATTTACTCGTTCGCTTAGGAAAACTTGCTTGTTTGTTTAAATCGTTTCCAATCAAAGCCTTTTGAATGATAGCGGAGCTCCACGCGCGCGCGATGCGCGATCAAGCGTAGTCCCATACATAAGAAAATGTGGTAATCTACATGTACCCACCCGAGAAATTTTGGTAATCACGAGACCTTACGCCCGTCTGCCCGCCCGCCGTCCGTCCGCACCACAGACATGCCAATGTCAAATAACTCGATCAACAGGTATGGCAACCGTAATGTAACTCGAGTTTATTTTGGCGGGAAATCGCATAGCCACCGGCGTCTTGTGAAGCAGAGACAACTAAAGAGTCAATAAAGACGAAAACGGAAAGCGGAAATTGTTTCTGTATCCGTGTTGTCTAAAGTATTTAGATTAACTGTCATGTCCACAAATTTGGAATATAGAGAAAGAGAAAGACAGAGGAAAAGAGAAAGTAGGCGGCAGGCCAGCGCAGCTCAACGAGAAAAAGGGCGACAGAGCTGGAGGTCTAGAGCGAGAGATAAAAAACAAAGCAGAAATTTTTTTGTTGCAATAACAACATGAAAATTGTGTAGCGCCGTTGAGAAAATGAGAAATACTAACAGCCACCAAGGTGGAAATGAGCGGCAGTGAAAAGAAAGTGAACAGGAACACGGACTACATTCGACATTTCCTCCATAAAACGTGTAACTGGGAAGTTTATGGAAGTTTTACGTTGTAGTCGTGCAAAATAACGGCAACGAAATGTACAAAACAATGTGCTTCTCGTGTAAAGTTGCTTTTTTGCTAATTAGACCTATCATATCTATAAATATTATCGAGGAGCTTCGCTTTCAGCCCTGGCTAAATCTATATATTAAACTCGTGTCTGGAAAATCCCTCAAGTGCTTACCGTAAATGACCTAATAAACGCCTAGGGCGTCTATTTCTTTTTAGGGGTCCAAGATGGGGCGTTTAATAGATAGGCGGCGTTTATTCTCATATTTACTGTAACAATCTCAACAAAACTAATATGCTTTCGGCGGAAATATCAAGAAAGTTTAAAAATAGCGGAATATCTACTCCATCAATTGATACGCCTAGGCCGTCTAGAGATCCATATCGCTCTCTGAAATCCCAACGTTGATGTCACCATCCTCGCTCATCAGTCGAGCTTGCTTGAGCAGAGCGAGACTCTCTTTTTTTTTTCGCGTGGGCACCAATTTGGAGGCCATGTTCCCAGGCGTTCCTAGCGGAGACTGTGGGAACTTGGGATCAGAATCGTTTCGACTTTCATTGTATTCAAATGAGACTCGTGATCAACATGCGGCTTATTTTCGGCGATGACTGAATTGATGCATGTAAGTTGATGACGTTTTTCGCGCAAGCTGCTAGGATACCTCCTCAGGATTTCGCCTTCTGGGCGAAATCCCTGCAAGGGCAATAAACCTGAGAAAGAGCAGTTCGTTTTTCTACTTTTTACGGCATGGTGTATGGTATTCAAAGGACAGGATGGACCAGTGTTAATAATAAATACTGATTAAACTATGTAGTACTTAAAAAATCTGTTTCTTTTGTAAATCTTGCATCTCCGTCCCCTGTTACGAACTTGGTACTCAAGGTGCTTTCATCAACATCAATCTTGGTGACATGGAAAACACCACTAAAAATGAATGGAAATCTCCGGCATTATGCAGTGATGTATGGAACAGAAAGGAGCAATTTGAATGAAAGGAGGAATTCTCCCACTGCAGTCAGTTATGAACTAACTGATCTGGAAGAATTTACAGTCTACTATGTTCAAGTATTTGCTGAAACTTCTGTTTCAGGAAAACTCTCAGACATAGTTGATGCAAAAACTTTTGAAGATGGTACGGCCTGTAACTTTGAATTTTTTGTTATGTCATGTTACTTACTTTACACTCGAACAGTAATCTGGGACGTCAGCGTACAAATGCGCCACAGGCTTCCACCATTGGTCCATTTGTGAGGTCAATGTAACCCTGGATTTTGTGATAAGTGAAGTGATTACAAATGTACATGTAGACTACACCATCTTGTTTTCTTTCTTTTCTTTTTCTATTAAACGTACAGCTCCAAGTGCTCCCCCGGTCATTGATAAAGCGAAAACTGAAGCTGAAGATGCTCACACTATCAGAGTCACATGGGAAGAGATTGCCGAGAAGGACCAAAATGGTATCATAATCGTTTACACAGTGGCATACAAAGTGGAAGATCAACCTACACAGTTAAGCCTCAATACAACTGATAAAAATACAGTTATCAAAGGACTTAAGCCATACACAAGCTACTGTATTAGAGTACGGGGCTATACTAAGATTGGACCTTCAGATTGGTCTCCCTGTACCACAGTGAAGACGTTACAATCAGGTGCGGTATAGTTCCCCAAGTTTGATCAGTTTGAAGCCACAAACCGTAGAGAAAAAAGAAAATACAACGAAACAAAAACAAACAAACAGAAAAGCCACCGGTGTTTGTGACAAGGAAGCGTCTTAGTTAAGTTTGAGGCAATTTTATTGAACCTGTGTGTTTAAGATAATGACCTTTTATCAATTTATGTGTGTGTGCGTCGTATAATTCTTTTTATTTTTATCTCATTTAATTCTCTCTGCTTACTTTTGCCGTAGTTTCTTTATCAAGTAAATTGTAAATATCCCAAAACGTTCCGACGAATAAGTGAAAATGATTGGACGAAAATTTTGTCCGACATTATTTCCATTCGAATATCTGTCACCAGTATGTTTTCGTAATCTGCAATTGTATTACATATATTTGGGAACCGTTCTAGGTGATTTGGGGATCTATTTATGACAATGACTTGAGTTTTGGAAGCCAGTCAGAACTAAAACTGGTTGAACGGCAGTGGAAGTATAGTAAAGTTTACTAACAAAGGAGTTAAAACTGTAGGTCCAAGTCGTCCACTAAGTGTTGTCGTGGAAGCTTCTTCATCCACAACCATTGATCTAAAGTGGAACGCACCAGCAGAACCAAATGGAATCATACACAACTATTTGATTGAATACGGGAAAGACCCTGATCAGCAAACCACTGAGAAAGTCGTTACAGACCGCACATTTGAATTCACCTTAACTGGATTAGAAAAATTTACAACCTATTACATCAAAGTCAGGGGAAAAACAAGCGAGAGAGGGAATGCTTCAGAAGTATTAAATGCTACAACGTCTGAGGACCGTAAGTAGTTAAGCCCCGTGCAAACGGACGCAACATTTTTGGATGTTACATGTTGCGTCCGTTTGCACACCCTGTTGCATGCCGTTGGATGTTGTTGCGTGTTGTTGCGCAAAGTTTGAAACCGGCCACACTTTTCATCCAACAACTCCCAACATTTTTTTTGTTCCGTGATCGCCGGAGCGTAGCGCAACAATGTTGGATCCGTTTGCACAACTCCTCCAACATTGTTGGGGCCACGCACGCTCATTACACATGGTTTACAAAGACTTATGGGTTGTATCCTTCCTACGATACACTGCAGGTCCCAACATTGTTGGAAGTTGTTGCAGCCGTTTGTACACCACTGCCAAGACGCACGCAACAACTCCCAAAATTGTTGGCGCAACAATGTTGGGAGTTGTTGCGTCCGTTTGCAAGCGGCATTATTTATTTATCTATTCTTTGTAAATATTCAAGTGTCATGGTTCTGCGTATTATTTAAGAACCTTGGAGTAACCGTAATCTGAGTTTTTCACGCAAACGTTCAGACGCAGCTGTAAAACGCGTTTCAGAAAGCCTTCCCTAAAAATCTCGGTAGCATAGCGTTTCTATGGCACTTGATTGAGCAAAGGCAGCTAAGGCGATAGAGCACCAGTCAGCCTCCTGTGGCAGTTTTAAATCCTACCCGTTCTGCAGTATGACAGCAGCGTTCTCCTTATCATGCGGTAACCAGCAAAATTTACAGCCTGAATCAACACTTCTTACCGTCTGCAACCCGCTTCAAAGTTTACTAAAGTTGAATAAGTAGTTTTTAAAAATACGCAAGTTGTGATCCGATCCGATCCGATCAAGGAAATGAATGAATATATTATGGGAAAGTACTAAAGTATACACAGCTTTCCTTTTTATGGGCACGCATTTTGGAAAGAGAACATTGAAGACAGAGTAAAATTATTGGGATCAAACGTTTTAAATTGTTGTCTAAAGATAACAACGGCCAATTTGCGTAAAATAGGTCTTACGGTGAATTACGTTTCAAATAACATAGCTCCTCCTAGGGCGGGGTCACGTCCCTCACTCCACTACCCCCCTCCCGCCATCAGGAAAGTGCACCTCTGGGGGATACTTTTACCTGACAGGCCATGAATGGTCCCTTGCCTGCTGAGCTAACAGTTAGGGAGAACACTGCTGACATCTACATACGACCTTTGGTGAGATCACTGTTGCTGTGGTAACACGTCAGGGTTTCTCTAATTCAGACAATCGTTGATTGACCATGATTGAAATGGAAGCTATCGGGCTCTTCTTCATTTTTTCGTTTCCGGATTCAAATAGGGGATGTGAACCAAAATGTTTCTTTTGGTGGGAATGTTGGGATTTTCAACACACCCAACCACTATGAACACGCATGGCGAGCGGACGTGTATTATTCAGCTCCGTCAATTTGTAATGTTTTTCTCTTTGCATTTCTTCTACTGGATTTTTGTCTTAGCTTAAACATTTCTATTAGCATTTTGTCTTAGTTTAAACATTTACAGAGGAATTATTTTCATGGGGAAACCAAAGAAACATCAATCGTCTGATGCTGCAGCGGACGAATTGAACTTGGAAACTCTTAAAGATGAAGGAGAATTGGTCTCCATTGCTACACTGAAGCAAATGCTTGATGTTCAGCAGTCCATGCTTAAAACGCTTTTCGATTCCTTTATCTCCACTGTCAATGCAAGAGTCGATAAGTTGGCAGACTCAGTCGCGTCTCTCAAAGCAAGCCTTGAATTTACACAAAAGGATGTCGGAGATTTGTCGTCCTTAAAATCGAAGCTCGTGGGCGCCGAAAAGGATATTGTTGAAATCAAAAACACTGTGGAGCTTCAGGGAAACAAAATAGAGTACCAGGAAAACCAAAGCAGACGGAACAACATCAGAGTATTCGGTATACCAGAATCGGCTGGCGAGACTTGGGAAATGGCTGAAACGAAAGTGAAGGACGCCATCAAGGAGAAGCTCAACATTGAAGTTGACATCGAGCGCGCTCACCGTGTTGAGCGTAGAAAGTCTGGAGGAATCAATCAACACCAAGCTGATGCAAAGCCTAGAGTTATTGTGTGCCGACTGAGTAGTTGGAAGCAGAAAGAAGCTGTAGTAAGAAAGGCAAGAAAGGAAAAACCAGAAGGACTGTTTATTTGCGAAGATCTTTCGCAAGCGACGCTTGAAAAGAGGAAACCTCATTTGGAGAAGCTCAAGGCGGCCAAGCAAGCAGGAAAATCAGCATATTTTATCTTAGATCGTTTGATCATTCGTGATAAGCCCTCCGGTTCTTCAAATGATTAAGATAAGTATATTGCAAAATGTTTTTTGTTCGACTCATTAATGGAAGAATTACCGTTTATTCATTTAAACGAAGAAGACTTTCGTTTGGCTATATTTGAGCAGTTAAATGGACCTATACGTTACGATCCCGATAGGTTAGCTAGCCTCAGGTTTAATCCTTTATTATCTGAAACATATAAAAAATTTAGCCTTTCTAGCCATCATGATCCTGATGCTAATTTCTTCACGGAGTTAGTTGACTGCGAATATTATACCGAAGAAAACTTCAATGAAATGTTGCATCAGAAAAATATATTAGAAGTCAATAATTGTTTATCGCTTCTGCATCTTAATATTCGTAGCCTTCATCGTAATTTGGATAGCTTAACCACTTTGCTAAAGAATCTAGAGTTGAGGTTCTCTTTTATTGGTATAACTGAGACCTGGCTTCGAGACTCATCGCATCATACCGATATCTCAGGTTATAATTTTGTCCACAATCCACGTAAAGATAGGACAGGTGGAGGTGTAGGTCTATATTTAGCGGACAATTTTGATTTTAAATGTCGACCTGACTTAGTTTTTTCTTGCACTGAATGTGCTGAGTCTTTGTTTGTGGAAATCAATAGGCCGAAAGAGAAAAATATAATTGTAGGTGTGGTTTACAGGCCACCAAATTCAAATTTACGAGATTTTATGAATAGCCTGGATTCGTTGCTTGCAAGTATCTCTAAGGAAAACAAGATTTGCTATGTTTTAGGTGACTGGAATCTAGACTTAATCAACCACCATTGTCACGACACAACTGGAGAATTGTTAGAAACTATGTATTCAAGAATGTTTTTTCCATTGATCACACGTCCGACAAGAATAACTTCTAACACGGCTACGCTAATTGATAATATTTTCACGAATAATTTAAACAACTTATCTGTTAGCGGGCTGATGTTTTGTGATATATCTGATCATCTTCCGATTTTCACACTGCTTCTTGATCAAAACAAGAACTTAAATAAAACTTCTTGGCTTTCTTTTCGTGACAAAAGTGGAAATAATGTCGCTAAGTTTAAAGATAGGCTTGCAAACGTTCATTGGGATGAATTATCTGAATGTAAAGATACTGATTGCGCTTATCGGTGTTTTCTTGATAAATACACTACCATTTACAATGACTGCTTTCCTCTCAAAAAAGTGAAAGTAAAGAATGTTACTTTGAGCAAACCATGGATAACTAAAGGTCTTCTTAAATCGGTAAGAAAAAAGAATTTATTATACAAGCGTTTCCTTGCTAACCCAACTCCATATCGTGAGAAACTTTACAAGAGTTATAAAAACAAATTGACACATTCCCTTCGCGTTGCTAAACGTCTCTACTACAATAAAAAGTTAGATGAATATAAATCAAATGCAAAATCAACTTGGAAATTACTTAACGATCTTATTAACAAGAAGAAAATTAAGTGTAAGTTGCCTTCCATCTTCAAATCTAATGAAGAAGAAATATGTAATCCTACTCATATAGCAAACCGTTTTTGCGAGTATTTTACGAATATTGGACCTAACTTAGCTAAATCAATTCCGGCGTCTGACAAATCTCATCGTTCTTTTCTGAATGGAGGCTTTATTAATTCATTTTTTCTTCAATCGGCATCAGAACAAGAAGTCACTGAGATTTGTAGCAGCTTTCGATCCGGTACTGCTCCAGGATATGATAGTATTTCAATGAATGTTGTTAAAGAGTCTTTTAACTTAATCTGCGCACCATTGACGTATATAATTAACTTGTCTCTTAATTCTGGAGTTGTACCCCAAGAGATGAAAATTGCACGAGTTATTCCATTGTTTAAATCTGGTGATAAATCTTTGTTCACAAATTACAGACCCGTATCAGTGTTACCAGTTTTCTCTAAATTCCTAGAGAGAATCGTCTACAATCGCCTCATTAATTTTTTAAATAAATATGATATTCTTTCCCGGAATCAGTATGGATTCAGAAAAAATTATTCTACTGCACATGCTTTAATCCAATTGTATGACAAGATCTCAAATGCACTTGATAATAAAAGGGTAACTTTAGGCCTATTCATTGACTTATCTAAGGCCTTTGATACAGTAAATCATGAAATTTTGCTCGACAAATTAGAACATTATGGAGTACGTGGTATTGCTTTACAATGGTTTAAAAGTTATCTATCTTGTCGAAAACAATTTGTGCAATATAATGGTTACAACTCTTCATCATTAGATATCACTTGCGGAGTCCCTCAGGGATCTATCTTAGGTCCCCTGTTATTCTTAGTATATATAAATGATCTATGTAATGTGTCAAAGGTCTTAGAGCTGATACTATTTGCTGATGACACTAATATCTTCTATTCGCATACTGATGCTTCCTATCTTATGGAAGTTGTAAATTTAGAATTGAAAAAGATAACGTGTTGGTTTTATACAAATAAGCTATCTATTAATGTTAAGAAATCTAATTTTATCATATTCAGACCGAGACAAAACAGGCAAACACTTGATTTAGCTTTTAATATTAGTAATTATTCGATTGACCGTGTTAAGGAAGCTACTTTTCTTGGTGTAATTTTGGATGAACATTTAACATGGAAATCACATATACATAATGTTGCTAGGAAAGTGTCTAAAGCCATAGGTATAATTTATAAATCAAGTTTTTGCCTTAATAATTCCTCCTTACGGATGCTTTATTTTAGCCTTATCTACCCATACTTATTCTACTGCGTGAGCGTCTGGGCATCGACCTACCCATCAAACCTCAGAAGATTAATCACACTTCAAAAACGGGTCGTAAGAATAATGTCGAGGAGTGCTTTCGATGCTCACACTGACCCCTTATTTAAAAATTTAAAAATTCTGAATCTTGAGAGTATCTACAAACTTCAAATAGGAAAATTTATGTATCAATACAGATCTGGCTTACTTCCTTATAGCTTCAATAACATGTTTCTGGTGACACGCCAGGTGCATTCTTATGGCACTAGAAGTTCGGAGCATTTTTATTTACCACAATGCAGGACTAATATAAGAAAGTTCTCCATCAGTTTCCAAGGTCCTAAATTTTTTAACTCTCTTAGTTTTGAAATTCGAAATGCAACAAGTACCGCTTCTTTTGCTGTAAGCTGAAAGCATTCCTCTTATCATAAATAGTAATTTATATATATATGTATTTTTTTTTCTTCCTTTGCTCTTTTATTTTCTTTTGTTTTGTTTTGTTTTGTTTTTTCTTTTTGTCATTTCGCTTTTTTTAGCCTAGAACTATGATTAGTACGACTATCTAATATACTTATTTTAAGATTTACTGTAGCTCTGCCATAGATTTTCCCGTGTGTAATTATGATAATATTTTGTTCTAATTATCTAACTGAGGGAGCCCATTCCTTATAAGTCCGGTGGCTTCTCTTGGGCTTCCTCGCCATGAGAGTTAAGGTAATTAGATTTTATTTGATTTGTATAATTTTTGGCAAACAAAACAATAAACAATAAACAATAAACTATGCTATAAGATTGCAAGAGACTTAAAAAATATCAGTGAGCCCTCCGAATAGGGACACTAAGGTTAGAAGGCCAGGTGTTTGAAAGCAGTGCTACGACAACTAGTTGTTAACACCCCTGCTGCAATTTATTCATTTTCGTTCTGCATTTCTACAGGTCCTGGTGCCCCAACAAAATTTAGTGGCAGAGTCTTATCGTACAAAGAAATTCTCATTACATGGAAAGAACCTGTTAATGCCAATGGAATCATAAGATCTTACTATATCAGAGTTTATGACACTAAATCTGGGCAAGAGGCTTTTGACAAAATCGTAACTAAGGAAGGCAATAATGGACAGAGCCTACTCGTATCCAACCTTAAACCATATACAAACTTTACCTTCACGATACAAGCCAAAACTATTGAGCCAGGAGAGATGGTTTACTTCACAGCAAAGACATTAGAAGGAGGTACATCTGTTTTTGTACGGCAACCTATGCTTCCTTTTTCTTCTTTAATTGATTCGAAGGCTTGTTTGTTTATGAAAGTCAATATTCTATTTTTTTTTACTCCTTTTCAAGACCTGCGCAATTTAAAAAAAAACAACTTTTTTAAAAATCTTCTAGTGGAACCGAGATTCTTAAATAAACCTGCATGTAGCAGAATAAAACTATTACATCAAATTGTTATTTGCGAATTTTCTTTATTCTGTAGTGCCAGGTAAGCCGGCGGAAGTCAGGGCCAAGTTAGAGGAAAATAATATCAAAGTGTATTGGAAAGAACCAGTTAATCCAAATGGGAAAATCGCAAAATACAATGTAAGTGGACGATGTGTGTAGATGTTTTTTATCTGTTTAACTTTCTCCCAAACTGACCCCTAATCAGCTCCTCATAATTGTCAAGGGCTTATCTTAAGATGCATATGTGTCTCAGTACCCCCTTTAGGAAGCCGTAGCTCCTCAGATAAGGGAACATCCTGGTGGAAATGCAGTTTTCACCAAAAACGAAATCGGGGTCGTAATCGGAATCGCGAGCCTTGTAATCTGAGGCGATCTTTGATTCAGAATCTGCTTTAATGTCTCTTTTGCTTACAGTCTATAGAAAATAAGACTGCGAAGTCGCGAGGAGAAACTGAAGAATAAAAGTAATCGCGACGCTTGAGGACGAGAATTATGACTTTTTTTTTCTGCCTCTCACCTCTTTCTAACCCTGACTATCTGCTTTTTTGAGGATTACTATTAAAGCGACTGTCAGTGATAAACAAATTTTGCCGAAAGAAGATGCAAACATTCCGTGAGCTTATGAATTCGCTTGTGACTCCTTTTTTCTGATTTTCACCACTGAGTCATCGTGTAAGCGCTCTTCCGACTCGCTCACTAGTTAAAGCAAGCAGCTCTGACTCGTCTACCACGCTTCAAGCCTCTATAAGCTGTTCTGAGGATATAGATATTGCTGTCATAAAAACTAATTTAACCACTCGGCAATTTGTTTACAATTAAAATTTCATTTAGTATTCTCAGTTACAAAATTAAGTACGAAAATGTCACTGCCGGAGAAGAGGAGAAGGTGTTGCTGAGGCCCTACAAACTAAAACTGACCCTTGATGGAGGCAGTGAACGCATGATCTACCTGTATGATTTATTATAGGTTCTCGGTGACCTAAATAGAAGAGGGGTTCAAATTTACTCCTCGATCTGGTTTAAAGCAACACGCGTCTTTAATAATTAGGACTATAAGGCTGGTTTTCACTAGCGACGGAGTCGGAGTCGGATTTGGAAGCAGAAGCGGAAGGATAAACCAATCAGAATCCACGTTCCCACGCTTTGTGATTAGTTTAGGTTTCCGCTTCTGCTTCCGACTCCGACAATCTGGTTTTCACTAGATCATAAGCGGAACGTAAGCGACAGAGTCGTACGGGGTATCGGAATGCTGTTTTCACTAGATCATAAGCGCTACACTTCTGACTCCGACTCCCTCGCTAGTGAAAACCAGCCGTAAGTTTTCTAGCTTGCTTAACCCGACATTGCTATAAAGTCTTAATCCGTAAGTGAAGTGTACCTCGAATTTTTTCCATCATGCAAACGATAGTATTAATTCTAAGATAAGACCTCTGAAAACGTTTTTCAAATTTTATGTTAAACATGCAGGTAGAAACTGATCTTATATTATGCTTTGTTTACCCTTTTCTGTTTAGGTGTATTTCAAGGGAAGAAGAGTTTATAACACCTCTTTCAAAGATGATTTACTGCTGGTGGATTCTAAAGCGTCTCGGTATACGTCTATTAAGGAGGACAAATTGACGCCTGGCACAAAATACACTATACATGTGACGGCGTTTACTGAGAGAGGAGAAGGTGCGCCAAGCGACACTGTTATAGTGAGCACACTAGCAAAAGGTAATAGTCAACACCATCGTTCTAGACCTGATTGGTTTAAAAAGTTTAGGTTACTAGCTTAGTGAGCTAGTTTACAGGCACTCCACTCAAATAATTAGAACCAAATAATCTAAACAAAACATAACAGGATTAAAAACCCCAACTGGAAGGAGGAAAACGGTTGGTTATTTACAAGAGTTGCCTCGGATTTGAACTCGGGAAAACCGAGAACAAATCCATTTAGCCTGTTCCAGGCGTTCAGATAGTGGGGAGCGGTGCGAAGTAAAATAGAGCGCGAAAAACTCTCCCCATGTCCCCTCTACTTTTCATCGCTTTCTTTACTTCGCACCGCTCTCCACTATCTGAACGCTTGGAACAGACTAAAATCCAGCACGTGACCATAGCAGGATTCGAACCCGGGACCGCCAGATTGCGAGTCCAACGCGCTGACCACTCGGCCACGCTGTCTCCTCCCGTTTGACGATTAGCTTTGCATTACAATCAGCGTGGTTTGGCTGCAGAGCCTCCAGTGCCACGGCCTCTGCTGATGTCTCATACCCACAAGAGACATCTCCAGTTACTGCAATCAGCTGCACCTGCTTCCAATGAGTCAGGATCTACCTTTGCGGAAATCATGTCCTTCTTGCACACATCTTTGTTAAGTATGGTAACACTGCACGAGCTAGTCGTCTTGGTCGATGAAAAGAAGAACAGTCTTCATTTCGAGTACTGGTGGGCATAAGATCTAAAAAAAGCTTTCTCTTTCGTCCTTGAGACGTTTTCAGTGACATGATAATTTCAAGAGAAACAATCTTGCTATGAAAAGCTCAAATGCCCTTTGTAAAAATCATAAGGTCGTAAACTAGCAATTTTATCCCTGTTATCAGGGGCACCCAACGAGAATATAGTTCAAAACCACTTAACATAGCATTATTAAACGTATTTTAGCATTTAAAC